GAGAGAGTGCTGAGTTGTGAAAGTTTGTAGACTTTCTACGCAGTTATGAATCTGCCATTGCTCACAATGAGAGTTTAAACGTTCTTAATGATGGAATTGAGAACCAGAAACTTACTGCCAAACTATCTGACTGGTTAAGTACCAGATGGAATCGAAAGTCCACACAATACCAACTAGAACACAGAAGGTTCCCAAACTTCAGTTATTTTGTGACATTCCTATCAATGGAAGCTAGTATTGCTTGCAACCCTATAACGTCTTTCCATGCTTTATGTCAAAGTGAACCTGATAAGGCAAGGATTAGGAACCAAAACATAGTGGCCTCCAAGAATCAAACAGTTGGTGCCAAGATCTTCACAACCAACACCAGTGAAAGAAACATAGTCATGAGTGTGTTTTGTAAGAAAACACAACACAGCTACAAGACGCCATTAAAGAAACTACATCCAACAGAGTTGTGCAAGATGGCAACAGTACTCAGACTTCAATGATAGTGCCTGTCTATGTGTCAACGCCTAGCGACTTAAGCAAAGAAGTTCTCGTCTATGCCCTGCTAGACTCACAAAGTGACTCTTCATTCATTCTTGAGGAAGTTGCAGATGTTCTAGATACTAACACTGAATGAGTGAAGCTGAAACTATCTACAATGTCATCCAAAAAGACAATTGTGCCCTGTAAAAGACTCAGAAGCCTACAAATAAGAGGGATATTCTCTTCTAAGGAGATCACAGTGCCAACAGTCTACACTCGTGAATTCATTCCTGCTAATCGAACGCACATCCCGACTCCTGAGACCGCCAAGGCGTGGCCTCATTTGGAGCATCTTGCAGAACACATTGCTCCACAAAAGGATTGTGAAATCGGTCTGCTGATCGGTTACGACTGTCCACAGGCTCTGATGCCTAGAGAAGTTGTATGTGGAGAGGAAAATCAACCCTTCACGCAGAAAACTGACCTAGGTTGGAGCATAGTGAGTTATGGTGATCCAAATGAGTATTGCAGTGATGCAATTGGAGTAAGTCATCGTATCATTGTAAGACAAGTGACGCCTGAACCCATACTGACAGCAAGGCTCAAAAGTGAAGTTCACTATGTTTGCAGGACTCAGATCAAGGAAATCGTTACTCCAGATGATCATGGTCAAGGTGTTAGAATCCGACTCCAGTGAAAGATGCGGAGAAGAAACAGCTGTCTCACAGGAAGATCTTCACTTCTTGACAAAGCTGAAAAATGGTATCAAACACAAACAAGATGGTCATCATGAAATGCCATTACCTTTCAGACAAGACAGACCAAATCTACCTAATAATAAGTCATGTGCTATTCAGCGTCTAATGTGTTTGGAACGGAAGCTCAAGAGAGACCAAAAATATTGCTCGGACTACATGAACTTCATGAAGGAAATTATCGATCGTGGTGATGCAGAGAGGGTCCCAGAAGAGGAACTCGGAAATCAACCAGTTTGGTATATTCCCCACCACGGCGTATACCATCCTCACAAGCCTGGAAAGATCCGTGTTGTCTTTGATTGTTCAGCAAGGTTCGAAGATACATCATTGAACGACCACCTTCTTACTGGGCCAGAGCTCACAAACACCTTGGTGGGAGTTCTTTGTAGGTTTCGTAAGGGCCCAATTGCTATTATGTGTGATGTGGAAAAGATGTTCCGTCAGTTTCATGTAAGGCCTGAAGACCAAGACTACCTGAGGTTCTTATGGTGGGAGAACGGTGATCTAGAGTCTCCACCATCAGTCTTTCGGATGAAAGTCCATCTGTTTGGGGCAGCTTCCTCACCCGGCTGTACAACTTCCTGTGGAATAAAATTAATGCATCATCTGAATGGCTGTTCTGTTCCCCTTTGTAGAGACTGCCCATCAATCTGTTTAGAGTGAATATTGGCTCATAATGATCGGTGGCCAATCAATTGAAACATATATAAATAGATATACATATATATGACAGAAAACTAAGGAAGAGCATCATGGGTCTCCTTTAAAAATATAGTTACTGAACCACATGCTGTTTAGGGTTTACTGACTTACTGAGAAACAGAGAGGAAAACTGACAAATATATTTAATGTTTTTATGTTATTTTGTATTTCTCAACAGTTATACAAGTGTTAAAGGTGTGGGTCACCGAATTTACAAAATAACATATTTGCTCAGATAAGGATCTTCTGCCCTAGCATGGACTTCATATGTAATGAGTGATTAATCTGGACCCCTAAACTCCATGAGGACAATGCATTTGATATTAGTTATTCAAATTTGACAGAAAGCACATAGTATAATAATAACATATAATATAATAATTAGAATAATAATTAATACTAATTTTAAAATACACATATAAATTCAAGTAAATTTAGCAATCTAGAAATGGAAAAACATTTTTTGATCCTCTCCATCGGACACCCCTCCTTAGTAAAAACAGATTACGACAGCTGACCTTCACATTTTGACTGTGAGGATATAAAAGGCCAGAAAAGGCAGCAGCCACAGCTGGGTGAGACACATCTTCCTACCTGATCCCACATCCCCTGTCAATGTAGACTCTCACTCTCCAACACCCTCCTTTTATCCACATACCTCCCTCCTCCTACAACTTTAGTTCTCCTCACTACTTTCTCATCCAGTTAAAAGAAAGGTTTTAAGTCTGTCTAAAACAATAGTCACATGCCCATATGTACATTGAAAGGCCATTAAGAGATCACTAAACTCAAACAAGGTAGGCTACGTAATAAATGTAGATAATTTGTAGATATTCATTTAATTTTGTCTGGAGGGGGCATTTGACCAAATGGAGTACTTATTCAGGGTACTTTAAGGTTTGGATTTGGACCTATAATTAAAGAAATGCATATGTAGTACGTATACATGATGCAATTTAACTGTATTTTTCAGCAAGGAACTAGACAAGGGTTCTCCTTTCATTATTATTCTCCAGTGTGATGGAGCCACTAGACTTATCAATGTCAAACCACATTGTAATTGGCCTTAACAGAACATAGAGAAAGTAAAAGATTTATAAGGGAAAGATTAAAAATAAATAGTTAGTTGTATAGGGTCTATGACCTAGCGTGTTCCTAGAATATCTTTTACTTTATCAGTAAATAAAGCCCAGGCACTGATTGTTGATTATTTGGCATTGTGCATTCTTGCTTCTGGCAGCTCCATATATGCTATATCCAATGAAGACTGTAGCCAATGAATTTGAAAAAGTCTGAAAATGAGGAGGTTGTCAGTAGAGGGCTAACTTTTTTTTTTTGCCGCTGTCAAACCAGCTAAAAGTGTTTGTGTCTGATAAAATGAGAGGCTTACAGTGGAGGTATCATTCAGTCGGAGCAGCTTAGGACAATATGGCACTTTAGTATTAAGTTGGATAATGTTATAGATACCATTTTCCAAAAAATACACTACTTCTGGGCAATTCCAGTACATTTGCAGAAAAGACCCCATGTCCCCATTAGGGCATAACTCACAATTAGGAGAGGATTTGTACTTTATCAAGTGGAGCTTTCTAGGAGTGAGATATATTCTTTGCAAAAATGTAAAGTGTATTGTAAAGTTTGTGGTTCGGGTTTTTGGAAGTACCATCTAAACTGACCTAAACTGTTGACCAGCAAATTTAATTGAAAGAACAGCCAAGATCCCTAGTCCACATTTGATGGACTGCTAGAAGTTAGTAAGTATATCCTGGATACTAAGCTTCTAGTATGACCTCACACATCTAGTAGAGAATGGAGCGAATGAATTAATAAAGCTTCACCAAACGAGACCCCATAGGTATGCATTGCTAACCTGAGCCAGAGGTAAAAAAAAAAAAAAAAAAAGGAGGGATGGATATCAGCGCCTAGGTACTTGAAATATTTAACCACTGGAATATTAGGAGGGAGTATAGATGGATTTAAAGAGTAATTAAGAGGCAATAGTTGGGACTTGGACCAATTGATCTTGTAACCACATAGACTAAAACTAAACTGGGCAAAGACACCCAAAATATGAGGAATTGAAAAGGGGGCAATATTGAAATACATTAATATATCGTCTGCAAATAGGGAAAGAGAGTGATGTGTATTGTAAAAAGTGATGGGTTCAATAAGGGGATGTTGCCTTATCCTTTGGGCTACAGGTTCTAATAAGAGAAAAAAGAAGAGGAGAGAGAGAGCAGCCCTGGCGAGATCCTCTAGAAATGCAAATTGGGGTGATACGATGTTGTTAGCTGTTATCATGGCTGAAGGGTTTGTATTAAGTACCTTATTTGGTTTTGGTAAAACAGCAAGTAAAGCCATGTTGACATCATTGAGAAAGGAGCCCTTTTCAACTGCAGTCAGAATTATATCTAAAATATATTGTATGTTGTTAATTTTACACTGTCAGTAAAAGAAACTTGTTGTTTAAGCTCTAGCTCAGTAAATTTTTCCTCCAGTTGATTAACTTTTCCTAATCTGACCTTGCTCTGATGTGATGAAAAAGATATTGCAGTATTCCTTATGAATCCCTTTAATACACCCCAAAACATGCAAGGGTCTTCAACAGAACCTATATTTTCTGAAAGAAATTCACCCACCTCATCCTTTAAAATAATCACAGTATTTCTGAAAGTCATCTTCGACATTACATAACATATCTTTCTGCACGATTTACAATCTACTTTTTTAGATTTAATGTTCTTGCTAAACCAATTTAGCTAATGAAACCACAGAATTTTACTTGCATAACTTGCCAGTGGTTTTACAACAGCTTAAAATGCACCCTATATTACTGCTGTATCATCTGACTCATATATTCTGAATCACAGCTGATTTAAAAATATGTTTCATTTTACATTGCTGAACTTACCATGCATTACTCCACTGACCTCAACATTATCAAATGTTGAAACTTCAACTTCAAGTTGAACTTGTCAAAGCTTAGTATACAGTAATCAATATAACAGTGATCACCTTTTGTCTAACTTTCTTCGATAATCCAAAGTAAATATGTATATGAGACAAAGACAATGAGACCATAACATTTTAATTAATGCAGTGTAATATTGTAACTTTTGCAGCCCTCATATTTCATAGCAGTGGAGGTTTTGAAAAGAACATTTGACTTGTTTCACTACTGCTGACATCCAAAGAGTCCATACTGCTGTTCCAGCTCCTCTATGCCCCTACAGGTACTTCCATATTCCTCAGTTTGACACTCTGCTTCTGAGGGCCAGTACTCGATCCAGGTTCTCTCACCGAGCACATACTGATACCTGAGGAGAGCAAAGTATGAAATACAATGAGTCTTCATGTGGCCAGCTATCTGTAACACAGAACATGAAAAATCATAACCCCCTCCTTCCTACAAAAAACTGTAGATTTAATGGCTCTATCAAAAAAGCAAATGTAAGGCATAAACTAGAGTACGAGAAAAGTGAACTTGATTTAAAAAGCCTTGAAACTGTTTAGATAATAAACAATAATAGATAATAGAGACAATGTTATGAGGGGTTACAAACACAACACACATGCACATTCACTCAAAGAACACACTTACTCTTTGTAAATATCTTTGGATGTTCCCATGACAAGGTAGGTTTTGCCTGTTCTCAGATCTAAAGCCTGCCTGCATTCAAGGTAACTGAAGAATGTGCGCAGTTTACCCTGAGGACCCACATCAGTAGTTCCTGTAATTAAAATTTAAGGGAGGAGAGAGAGACGGTATTTTAAATGCATAGTTAAAGGTGCTAGATAAGAGATTACTGTTGTATTCTCGCATATTCCCAGTGGAGTCATGCTTAAAGGAATAGTTCAACAAGTCAGTAAATATGGAGCTACAGCCAGACAACTTAGTTTAGCTTTAAGACTGACTCTCTCCAAAGGTAATACAATTCACTTACCATCACCTCTAATCTTGTTTATTTAATGCATACGAAAAAACTAAATGTAAAAACATTTCCCCTTTTTATGCAGGGTTACATACTGGACTATTTCTTGGCCAGTAACTTCCCAGAGTATCCACTGGTTGCCTGACGATGCAAGCTAAGTTAGCTAGCTGCTAGTCATAGCTTCATATTTAGTATATAATTATGTGAGTGGTTTTTTAATCTTCTCATCTAACTATCTGCAAGAAAGTGAGTAAGTGGTGTTTCCCAAAATGTCAGACTTCCCCTTTAAATGGGCAATGATTTTAATGTCTAACTGGAAACACCATTTAGATACAAAGTGCCCATAAAATGTCAGAAAGAGGCAAAAAATACCAACCTTCTTTGATGACTTTCAGTACTCGCATTGTGTAAACGTCAGTGGACAAACCATCTTCAAACTTCTGCAGCTCCACTTTGTACACTGAGGACAGTCAATTTGCAGATTGTTAGCTTACTTGCTCCATAACCTACTTATTCTTTCGATCTCTTACTCTCACAAACATACACAGTAATTGTTCTGGATAAAAACACAACATAAATGCAGTCAAGTTGCAGTCTCTTACTAAAATCTATTTTGGTGGTCTCAGTACTCTCGCAGGCCTTAGCTGTGCGATCATCGTTGTCGATGTTGCCCTTCTTCTGCATACTGCAGTTCTCTGGAAGTACACAATAGAAACAGTAATATACAACTGATGACATGATTAAAAATAAGCTCATGTGGATGCATCAGTGTGCATGGATTAGTTGATGGATGAGAGCAGGTGTATCTAAGTCACAATGTAAGTATGTTAGTGACTCTGATTGTTGCTCTGATTGTACAGGATCCTGCCGGGCTTGTTGCCGCTGACAGAAAGTTCTGATGTTTATGTTACAATCTGCTGATTTACTGTAGAACTAATTCCCCGACCATCTCCTTCACCAGATTTTAAATAGACACTTTACCGGTGGTAAGATTAGTTTACCTGCAACAAGGAATAGACTACTAATTACCCTGAGACTATGGTGGTATATTTTTCTCAGTAGCTCTGAAGGGAGATTTATAAAGCCAGAGAGAGTAATTCTGGTGATGCATGGTTTTACCATCATTTTTAGCCATGCTATTTGAACCAACTGAAAAAGCTGAAAAAACAATTTGATTGATTTTCATGATATATGCTAGAGTTAACATGAATTTTAATTACTTTGATGTCCTGAATTTTCCTCTAGCACAACCAGCAGGTCGATGACCTCTATTAAGCACAATATTGTTTCAGATGTAACAAATGTGTGTTTAAAATAGACAGATGAGGTCATCAGTTAGAAATCATCCTGTTTACCTTCAGCACATTCTCTGTATACATCATTTCTACTGAGCTGCAGTAGCTGTCCAGCTCTCCTCTCTGGATGGTAGAACTTCACGCAAGGTGTTGCTGCAACAAGAAAGAAATTCAAAAGAAATTTTTTTAAATGATTCCAGTCCATCAGATAATGTACATTAAATACTTTGAAAAGCTAATGATGAATTGTGTTATCTACTTTGACATCTATTGGCAGCAAAGAAAAAAATCTGGAACTACTGTATGTTGCTAAGCTTCTCTCAGACTCACGGTCATAGTATTCATAGACAGACACAGCAGCTGGTTGTAAGACACCCACTCTCATCTGCTGATGGATCCTAAAAGTGATCTCCTCTGGTTGAGTGTGAGAAACCTGTGGAGAGATGTCCAACCAGGATACATTGCGTGTGTGTGAGAGAGAAACACAATTTCATTTCAGCTGGGTTTTTTTTGCTATGACATACACAATAGCAGACCTTGAAATATCAGCATTAAGAATTCATCTTTGAATGTGCTTGTCAATAAAACTTTAATTAATTGAATAAAGTTGATATATAACCTGAGAGAAAAAGGGGACGGAGCGAAGAAAGCCTTACCTTGTCCAGGTAGATGATGAGTGAGCCTCTTTCTGACAGGACAGTGTTCATCTCATATTTTGCAATGGTGCGGGCACGTCCTCTGGACAACTACACCCACACACACACACACACACACACACACACACACACAAACAGTGTTACTGATTAGTACAAACACGACGAAGCCTGTCTATATCACAGTGTCCACCTTTCTGTCCCTCTCTATCTCCACTTCCCAAGGACCCCTCAGTGTCATTCTTTACCTGTCCACCAGATGCTCCCAGACTTTTCTCCATCCATTCTAGATCCTGCCACTTCCATTTTCCTTGCAATCAACTGAGCTTCCCTGCCCACTTCCCCACCTGCACCTCATTCCCTGATCAGCCACTCCTTACATATACCAATCCACTGCCTTTATTCCTCTGTCTGCCCATCAAAGTTTTGTCTGCCTACTGTAAGCTATTTCTGAAATAAATCTTTTAAGTCAATCTGCTTTGTCTTCATTTCAGTCCAATCCTGTATTCCCTGAGCTGTAACAGTCTGACCCTGTTGGGTATGTTTGTGTGTATATAAGCTCTTACTAAGTCCAGGTCATTTGTGTTAATGGTGAAGCCAGTTAACAAGCCAATATCCAAAACTGACATGGTTGAATCGCGCTCATTGTCCTTAAACCTGTACAGAAAATGGAGAGAATATGGGTGAGAAGAAGAAAGCAAAGTCAAACCCTTTATGGAAGGAGAGAGCAGCAAAATGCAACAATACTGGGGCACAAGGGTATGAATTGAAAATAGAGTGGGGAGAAGTTAAATAATGAAAGTGTTGGCTGTATAAATCCATATTCCTGTTAAAACTCATTCATTGTACTTACATAACCTCTATTCTCAACTTATATATCATCTGATCTTCATCCATTTTCTCTGCAGGAGCAAAACATTTGATGAACACTTTCTCACACAAGAAAAATACGTGGCAATAAAAAAAACAACAGACAAACAAACCATAAGAGACAGAGGACACCAAATTACCTGGGATGAGCTGCACTGACAAGTTAAACTTCTGACAGTCACTGTCCCTTTCTTTAGGCAGAGCGTAATACATCGACACCATCTGTCATATAGATGAAAGTACTTCTTAAAACAGTGACAACTATCAGGACCTCAAAGAGGGCCTAAGATAAATTCAAAATCAAATTTTAAAAGATAATTTACTTAATGCATACTGTATTTATATCCTAAAAACATTCATTGTACAATATTTCTAAGGAAAAATGTACCTTCCCAACAACACTGCAAATGGTTAACTCCCACCCATAGATATTGTACACCTATTCTACTCTCTCTGCTCTATTCTTGGTTATTTTCATGACTCAACTTTGATGAAAAATTTGAACTGGTTAAAAAAATAGTTTTGTTATACAGTATTTTTTTTTTTTTAATGTCAAACTTACGGTCAACGTTGCTTCTCCATGCCCCCTGGCTGTCACATTTACATCACTGTTTATATTGTTGGTCTGTTGAGATTTAAAATATATGTACACAAACACATACATACATATACAAAAGCAAAACAATTATTAGGGATACATAAGATTACAAGATCTTTAGGAACAAAAAAACACAAAACCCAGGCAAATTGCCTTTAAAGCGATTTTATACATATATTTTATAGAATATATACAGTATTCATTAGGAACTGCTTGTCTAACATATTGTTCTTAGCTGTCTAAATTAGTTTATTAATGTCCATCACTGTACATCTGCCTACCACAGTACTTTATATATATATATATATATATATATATATATAAATATATATATATTTTATATATATTATTTTTTTATTTAAAATAAATAAATATTTTTCTGTTTCTGTTGTTGGACACCAAACCGGAACTGTTTCTCTGCTCTTGTATGTTGAAACTTTAAAGAGGTACTACACCTTAAAAAGTGTATTTTACTATAAACTAAATTATATGACTCAAAATTGACCTTAACAAATGTATTAAAATCTGTATTTTGTGGGTTAAAAATTTCTGAACACACCCTCTACTGTTATAAATAATATCTTATAGATGACAGCAGCCATTACTTTCTTGTCTTCAGAACACCAACGCCCGCTTTTGAGTGAAACAAGTGCTGTAAAAGTGCCTAGTGGTACTATGGATTTAGCATTTTGCACGTCAAAGGATTAAAAAAAAACAGTTGACAATAAAAGGGTAAAAATGTAAACCTGTGGGACCTGGACAGTTGATATGTGTCCATCTTTGGCAAATAGTTCATCACAGGTTAGTTAATGATGTTACTGAGTAAAGGCCGTATGTTTGTGTGTTTTAACTGTAGATTGAAGTGAATCAGTACAGAGTCTTAGTGATGGTGTAAATAAAGTTTTTACTGTGAGAAAATATGGCCCTACCATAAAACACTCACTGCTGAAATGGAGTTTGGTCTGATGGTCTGGAGCAGAGGGTATTTTAATCTTAATAATTCACATAAACTGAGCTGACTTACCTACTAATGAACCTTGTAAACAGCATAAAATAATGTAGACTGTGGAGAGAGAACCGACATGTTTCTTATTTCAATCGCTCATCAGCTCGCTTTCTCACTACTTTGGTCAGTCTGTCAATCACTCCAGTCGATGATGGGGCCAAGCCCCTAAAGTCACTGTCCTTTCTAAGTCTCTGATGTATATTTTTTACATTTGCTGAGAGGGAGGGAACTAGCACAACATAAGGGTGTAGTTACACTTTAAGCCTGAGATGCAATGACTTTGTGGGGGGTAGTACTGGTTGGACCAGAAATAATATGATGTATAATAACTCATATAGACATAGACACATAAAATGTTCAGTGAATATAGAAACCAGGTTTGTTACAAAAACGTGGGGAGCGTTTTTGAGCAAGACTGAATTTATAGCCCATACTGAAGATCTATGTGTGTGTGAGTCTGTGTGTGTGTGTGTGTGTGTGTGTGTGTGTGTGTGTACTTACTCTAGATGTTCTCGTGGTGTGGTGGTTTTCCCTGTTGAATCTGTAAATGTCAGGTTTTGACCTTCCTGGCAACAAGATGTGCACATCCAGATCATACTCTGGTTCTTTGGCATTGACCCAGTACTCAGCGACAGCCTGGTACACCATCATGGTAGCCTGGAGAGAGACATAAACAATAGCATGGAAAACAGCACAAAAGAATGTTAATTTAGACACATAAATGCTTCCAGACAGAGAAAGTTCTGTGTTACCTGAGTTGATCCATAGCCTCCGCCCACTTTCTGCTGTTGGTTGAACCATCTGACAAGAGGTCTGGCTTCTTCAAAGGCCTTTATTAACAGAAGTTCTGATTTATTAACCATTCAAGTGCATGGTTACTTTCTATGAAATTTAAGCCACACATTCATGGCCACCACACGATGAACCCCAATGACTTTGGTGACCTCCGAACTTTACCAGTAGCAACAAACAGAGGTTTACATACGTGCTTCAGAGTGAATAAGCTTTAAGATTACTGGGTGAATTATCATTAAATCATTGAACGCAGCAAAGGACCACAGGTTGAAGTCGAACCTCCTAAATGTTACACACTGGACCTTTAATGCAGTAACATTGAGTATGTTTTTTTTTTGCGTGGTTAAACACACAAAATCACATAAGTGGGATGTGCTCACCTCAGCTTTGACTAGAGCTAGTAGAGCATAAGCTGTGGCCTCCAGTGTATAAACACGTCCTTTAGGTATTGGCCAGTGGGACAACTCTGAAGAAGACACAGACACACAACTTATTCTTACTATACCGTATTTGCTGACATTCTTCATTGAAGACCCAAGTCCCCAAATCCCCTCTAAATGTTCCTGTGTGTCTATCTCTGTAAGGTGATTTGTAAAAAAAGTACACAAACACGCACACACACACACACACACACACACACACACACACACACACACACAACACATCTGATCATGTTTAGGAATATTGCTGTGTGAGGACACCTGGAGATAGCAAAGTTGTTCAAGATCTCCCGGTTCAGTTTGTTTTCATTGGCCAGGACATATGATGTCATGGCAACAGCATATGGGTTGGTGAGGCGGGGTAGATGCGTCTCCAGGTAGGCCACTGCTCTGTCTATACTGCCTTGCAGACTCTGGACAGAGGGAAAAGGCAGCTAATGAGGAGGGAGAACCATATCCAGAGGCTTGAAGAGTGGCAGAGAGACAGAGTAAAGATTCAGCTCTGATGTTCGCATTCCTGAATGATGTGTCCATCCAGCTGAGTCTCCCATCACCGAGGTAAATGCTGTCTTTTGTACCCATATCAGTACAGGCAGGCAGGCAGGCTGGCAGTCTTCTGAACATCACTGCTGACCAGTGTTAGAAAAAAACAATTACAACTCCTCACGTTATTGTAATTTAGTTGGTTTTTGGGTACTACTACTACAAGTTTGATGTGTATCCAAACCTTTCATCTGCATTTTTGTAGATGCTGTGATCGGCAGCAATCGTTTGCCATCTGTTCTGTTTTTCCAGCATGAAAACATACTGTAGGCCAATGAAAACCATGAAAAAAAGGTTCGGAGAGGTGACCACACTGACCAGAACAGCCCTGGTGTAATTTAGGGACTTGATTGAGATAAACAGAAACCAAATAGTGACAGATAAGGCCCTTGAGTTCTATGCAGGTTCAAAAGCTTTTTAAGTGGTTTTTAACAGACAACATTTCTGCTTTGTCTGTATATTAGTTTGATAACCGATAAAAGGTATGAATTGATCAGAGAAATGTCCTCGACTGATATGGGTTTTTTGATGGCAGATGCCAACATTTTTTTATGTAATTTAGTTAAAAAGTAATACTCTAGTTATAGTAACAGTAGAATACTTTGAACTTTTACTAATATTGACTTAACTTGTAAGTTGAGTAATATTTCAGTAATGTAACAGTACTTCTATTTGAGTACATATTTTCAGGAGCATGTTATGGTTGAAGGTAAAAACAACAAAAGCTGTCTAAAAGACAAAAAGGCTGTGGATTATGCAGAGTAACAGACTGTGTTTCAGGAAGAGATGTTCGTGTTAAAATATCATTTTTCAATGCTGTAAAGAAACAAATGAATTTCCAATTACATCCCAAGCACTGGCTGATCAAAATGATATTAAAAAATGTTCAAAAGCAAGTGGCAGGACTGAGTAAAGGATGGAATAAAGAGAGGGCAGAAAAGAAAACAATGTATGCAGGTCAGTTACTCACAGTAATACTGGCAGCACAAATCGTGCGTGACTCCTGCATGGCAATGAGGCAGAAGGCCGTCAGGGAGGCATCTGAATCTAAGCCGCGCACATCTCCCTGTACACGGACAAAAACATATGGAAGTGTGTCTTTTTTATTGTTTTTGTGTAGCAGCAGAACTGTTACTGAAATAAGTTCACACACCATCATCTCTCCATGTAACACATTTCCAACTTCTCTAAACATGCCGTCAGATTGCTGTGCATTGAGAATCAGAAACTTGACAGCATCACAGATGACGTGGTTTTGCATTGTCACCAGATCTTTGGCCATGGCAAACACCTTGGCAACATAAGCTGTCAGCCTTAGAGAGGAGAAATGGTGAAACAGTTTCACATGTATTTTATTTATTTGAACATCCAACATTTAAACAACCAATAACGTTAAACATATTTTGTTCAAGTTCATAGACGTTTGCCTCACCAGGTGCTGCTTGGGCGACTGGTAAACACAGCAAAAGACCCATCAGTTTTACGGAAGGCAAGCTCGTTGCTATAGCCTGGACACAAACAAAGAAACACAACCTTTTTACGGACTGGCACTCAACTCTACTTAATCTTGTCCATTGGATGCCAGTTTTAGGAGACCTGTTACATTCTGGTGCCTGTACTAACAAATGCAGCCTACCAGTTCTGATGTATTGGAGGGCTTCGGTACGTTTCTCAAAGCCCACAGATTCCCACTGGTTGGTTTTGTCCAAATATATGGTTGCAATGACAGGCAGGGTCATGTGGATCATGTTAGCCTCTCCATCGCCTGAGGGCTGGTAGATCAGAGAACCCATGGAGTTCCCACTAATGGCGTTCTCCACTGGTCCACTTAACTGCTCTCTTCCTGTGTGGACACAGAAATGTCCCCATAAGGTGGTCATTTGCAATAAAGTGGCAAAGACATCTTTGACAACAACAACAATTAACACTGTAACAGGAGAATTTACAGGCAATCAATAACATTATATGCCCAAATATAACATAATGGCTCCTATTATCATGCCAGCATTTTATGTGATGCACATTAAGCTTCCTTAAATGAATAGTAAAAATATGTCAATGTTGCTTGTGGTGTGTGCCACTGTGGCAGTCACGCTGTCTAAGGTTCTGAAACAGTGGAAGAGATTGACAGACAGAACACACCACTTTCTTTATCATCCTGCTTTCTTTTTATTGTTGGAAATATAACTTTTGGGCCCAATTCCATTTCCCCTCCACTGTAGCAATCCACAGCCAGAAGGGAAACAAACAGGGAAGTGAAGGGACAGTCAAAGAGAGAGGGAGAAAGAGAGAGCGGCAAGCTGCAAACAGCTGTTTCTATGTGCCTATGATACTTTACATAAAGTCCTCCCATGTAAAGACAAATGTCTCAGTGAGTTAATTTTGATTCAAGAACTCTTTGCATTAGTTTACATTCACAAAGATCAAATGAAAATGTTGATAACTGATACCAGGCTCTGTAAAAGCCTTAAAGCTTTAGTGCAAGAAATCTCTAGTTAAATAACACAAGTTTATTTAGCAATGTTTAAAAAATGTTTAGCTTTATTGTTTTACCATGACATGTCTAATCCTGGGAAAGGTGTGCATGAAAACCAGAAAATGTTGCCTTGGTACCCCTGCTGATTTCATCATTGATTTATTAATAATTGTATTCTTTAATTTTGAAACAGTAGCTGCATTTTGTTACTTAGACTATGACAGTATTAACTGTCTATAGACAGTAGAGTACAGTAGAATGTGTTTTGCAGAATTGACTGCGCTGCATGTGACATGTATATTAGCAGTGCACACCATAAAATAGTGCTACCCCGCAAGCCACTGTGTAATTTGCACCCTGTCTACCACTGACAACAAATGCTGGCATGATATATGTATATGCAGGAGCTAATCTTACGGAGATCTGAATTATACACCAACAGTGAACATAGACTATCCGATCTGGGCCAATGAGTAATGTTTATTGCTGATATTTGTCAGCTAAACTAAAGCTGAATCATCATTTCATATTGCTCATAATTCCCTCTAACTTAAACTGCAACCCACAATATTTAGCTACAAGATGAGGTTAGAGTTTCTGTTCCAGGAAAGTATGTTCTTTGAACTCACCTGTCACAGAGATCAGTGTGCTTGCAGGTGTGTTTGGAAACAAATCTTTCAGAGGAATTTCATTGTTGATAATTTCCTCTTGTATACCATCTAGAGGAAGAGACCGTTGGCAAGTTAGGGGTTTTAGAAAAAACAGTAATTATTTTTTTTTTTGCTCGTTTAAGACACTTCACTAGTAAACTTACCTACACCATTCTGAGCTGGGTTTAGTGTTATAATCTTTGAGGATCTTGTCAGTATGCCTTCAGGCTGGAAATACAGAAAAAATTAATAAAAATGATATCCACAAAAAACAGACAAGCATCAATAAACTTTGATGTTTTGAGATAGTGGGCCCTATCTTGCCGATCTGAAACACAAGTATCAAACGCAAAACGCAAGTAGCTTTGTGGGCGGATCTCGGGCGCTGTTGCTATTATGCCGGCGGGATAAATGACTCTTGCGCCCGGCTCAAATCTAAAATGGGTTGGTCTGAAGTAGCTACATTAGTCATAGGTGTGGTTTGGGCGTAACGTGCAATAAACCAATCAGAGCATCATCTCACATTCCCTTTAAAAGCAGGCACGCTTGTTCCATGGCGGATTGCTATTATAATGGCGGATTGGCCAGGTGCACACCAGGAGCGGTTCACAGCCGAGGAGACCGACGTTCTCGTCAGGGCCGTAAAATACCGAGAAGTGTCATTATTGACATGAAATAAATGTAACACAGCCATACAATAAATCAAAACAATGTAACGCAGCTTCGCAGGAAGAAGACCCTGGCCTCGGGAGCAGTGCGCATGGGCCAGCTGAGGAGGGAGCAGAGGATCCAGACCCACTACACGCCGGAGGACCACCCGTTCCTGCAGCAAACCGATGCGGATGCGGCAAAGTATTAATGCCCGTCTTGACCGGGTGGCGATGTTGCTGCTGCCTCTCAGGCGCATCTCCTCAAGTCTGCGCCCTTAAAATAGCATCTGAATAAGCGCCACTGACTTTAGACTAGGTTTTTCCTGGTCTGCGGTGGAATTGTTTTCTGAAACAGCAAAATAGCACCAGGGAACGTTTGCGCCGGAACACGCCTCGTCTTTTCACTGAACCGCCCCCCCGGGACGCAAGTTCATTCCCTAATTTAAGGACGTGCGTCGGTGGAGGGAAAATTCCAATGTGCGTCGAGTGCAAAATAGGAATTATACAAGCGCCAGTGTACAAAGTCAATTGCGCTGAGTGCAAGATAGAGCCCAGTGGATGCATGTCCATCAGACAATTAAAGGTCTGAGGTAGAAAAGTACTTGAGCATTTTACTGCAATAAGAAACATTCTAATATGGTATAAAAAGCTCTAAACACACTACTGTGTTTCTCTTACCAACACCCGCAGCACCTTCAGGATTCCATAATTGAGCGATGAGTCCTTAACAGCTGCTTTAACCTCAATATGATATTGTCCTTCCTTTATGGGAATAATGATGAAGGGTACAGATCGTGTAGTTAGGGCCCCAACTTTAACCTCCTGACGATACTTGCCACGTTTGGATGCTGAGCTGCACACATGTTCCTCCTCAATCAGATCCACACGCACCTTGCAACAGGTAAAGAGGGAAAAATAAAGAGATTGACATTTAGATATTGACAAATAAAGTAAACATATGAATATATAAGGGTGAGGGAAATTATCCAATGCAGATGTTTCCAGGGTACATAGGGGGTCAACCCAATTGAACAAGTATGGAGATTTTGAATGGACGCAAACATGGTGTGTATCAAAATCACTACCATTAAGTTAACTGGCGAGCAGCAGAAGAAAGCCTTGTTTTGCCCTCCAAGTGGGTGCTCCTATGAGGAGAATGAATAGCCAAATCTGAACCTATGTGACACACTAATGCATCCAGTGATGATGTAGGTGCAGTGTTCCAGCATCACAAGTTGCAGAGAACCGCACTGTACTAACAAAAGAAACAACTTTCTGTTCTTGTGTCTCATCATTCATTGAGATTTTTGTAATTTTGGCTAAAAGTTTAAGAGAATATGAGTAGTAGAGTTTTTAGACTTACTTAGAGGTTTTAGGTTGTCTTTGTTGCCTCTTGTTTTTCAGTAATAAAGACCTTTTAATTGTCAATCGGTGACATTTCTATTCAGTCACATGTGTTGCTGCAGATCAGTCACTGAAAATTAAAGGTGAGCGATAGTTACTTTAAAACTTTAGGCTGCTAAATTCTTTCTGTAAATAATCTGTTTATTTAATCCATCTGTTCAGCACCTTTGCACAGTGTCTCCAGCTACTGTATAGTGAAGGTTGTCAGATATGGTTGATGAGCACAGGTTTTGGTGGTAATTTGAACAGAACAAAGCTAGCCGTTTCCCTCTGAGTCCTCCAACTCTTTTGCTAAGCTAGGCTAACTATTTCCTGACTTTAGCTTCACACACAGATATGACACTGACATTTCTGTTCTTCACATACTTTTGGAAACAATACAAATAAGGATATTTTCCAAAAGATTGAATTATACCTCTCATGGGAAGATTGTGAGTATGAGGCTGATGATGATTCTGATTTAATTTTTGAATGTCACACAGTTTGCATTGGTCAGTTAACCAGGCATTATTCAAATTAAAACTGCACTGCACATTTGCAAAGTACTATTTTCATTATAAACCATCTGTCCTTAAACACAAGAGCTAAATTACCCAGACTCACAGTGATAGGATCTGGGCTGTAGTTGTGGAGGATAGCCTTAATTTCCAGCTGCTCTCCACGAACAGCAGAGTACGGCAGTTTGAGATCAATGAAGAAATCCTTCCGGACAATGACCTCTAATGGATCGGCCACACAGATACCTTAAAGTCAGGAGGAAAAATAAACATGACAGAAACTAAAGGATAAGAATGAGGGGAAGAGGAAGGTAAAAGTTTAAAATCTGAATCTTTATTAACTGACAAAATCTCCAGATATCAAAATCCTCCTCCAGAACCTGACAAATTGGAGATGTTACCTCTGCCCCTGGGACATTATCTTCTGTTCCCCTTCAAACCTGATGTCACTGTTGGAGTGTGTATTTGTGTGTGTGTGTTTGCCTGCAGCTGCATTTCATCACCATAATATATACAACACAAGACTGGGACAGAATCAAACCAAAAACATTGCAGTTATCTTCTCCAAGAAATCCCTTATAACCACAATTAATGTAAAGAAAAAGTAAAGTCGTGCAGAGAAACAGAATCCTCACCGTGAGTTCTTGACAGACTAATGCCAATGATCTGCCAGGTTGTGATTGAGTCTTGCAAAGGAAAATTTTTCACAAATGATGTGGTGTCACTGAAACAAAGAAACGTGTGATCACTTTCAGTGATAGAAGAACTTGTGAGAAATTTTAGTGGTACTATGAATTAGTGATGCGCGGGCCGACCCGTAACCCGCGGGTCAAGAAATGTTCACTTTATTGGCGGGGCGGGTCATTAAGTATTAAATATGTTCAATACAGCCTACTTAGCCTACCTAACACTGTTGGGTAAACCCACCTGCGACCTGACGTCACCAAAGCGCCTATATATATATTTATTTTTATTAAGATTTGAATTTGTTGTTGCCAGTTTCCAGTGCCACTCGAAGGGCTGTTTTAAAGCACATTTGTCAGACCAAATAAAAGCCCTAATCAATGACATATTTAACGTGTATTTGATAGCGGCGGGGCGGGGTGGGGCGGGTTGTGAAAATAGACACGGTTGTGCGGGGCAGGATGGAGCGGGTTAAATTATTAAATAAATGCGGGACCCGCGGGTTGGAAAAAACCCCGACCTGCGCATCACTACTATGAATCAATTTCTGTTGACTCACCAGTTCGGTGTTTGTCGAGGGCAAGCAGGCAGTTTGATATCTCTCCACAGCCAACTTTCAGGGAAGTTGGTGCGAGAAACTATTTCATTGCTGTCCATGTAACTGTTGTCATCCTCCTCACCTAAAGTGTCATAACAAAACATTTTTTATGTCCTGTACTGTAATGCAGAGGTTCAGTGAACATGTCGTTATCAGGTCATTTGAGCTATGATTCTTACTTCTGACATTCCTTATAGTGCCGGCTCGTTTTCTCCTGCTCGGGGATGGACACTTCAATTCTGGAATGAAAACAAAAACAAAAGACTAGTTCCTAAACCGAATGGTTTCTGTGATACTTAAAATAATGGAGAAGTCATCTAACACAGTAGACACAGTAATGTCATGACACTAGTCAGGCATGGTCCAAAGTGTTGTGTGTAGAGATGTGACAACACTGTTGTCATTCCACCAATTTTAACGGCCACATGTCGAAGTATCCTTGAGCAAGATACTGAACCCCAAATTGCTCCTGATGCTGTGCGTCGATGTGTGAATATGTAGAAATGCATTAGTTTTTGCTCAATGGTTTGACGTGAATGTGTGTAAAAGGGCGAATGTGGCACGTAGTGTAAAAGCACTTTCAGTGGTTGGAAGACTAGAAAGGGGCTATACAAGTACAGGTCCATTTACCATTTACCATTTATAGATAATGATGAGCAGTAAACTGGAGAGTGTCACCTTGTCTGATGGGAGTCCCAGAAGCACTGGACTCGAACAACAGCCCAGCATCATAGAACACACTCATGCTGTCCTTCCCTCCACCTGGTGTGCAGCCTGTGTCGTACTTCTGTACAATGTCCCACACCTGAGCAAAGTAGAGGTCATACACACACAGAAAGACAAACTTGAACTTGACTAAACCAGAGCATGTTCATTGATGTTGCAAAATCTTCTGGGAGTAAATGGTCTGGAACACACAAATTTCCAGAAGCGGGCTGTAATGGTGAGAAATCCAGTGGGAGTGGGATTAAGCAGGGCTCCGCTGCACACAGAAAGGCCCCATCCAACCAGTGGGCTAAAACAACATTGTCACCTAAGTCAACACAATGTGTGGGTTCAAAGGGGACAGATTAATGTCGGATGTTCATATTAAACGTGACCAAAGTTTCAAATCATTTGGTAAATGTATGTAAAAGTAAACGCTGTGAGGAAAATGTCTAGGTTTATGTCTGCTCTGAATAGGGTGGCTTTAGGCTGGACAGTCCGGCTTTTAAATGCCCTGTCCAGCTGCAGGCGCAGTTTAATACTTATTGGCTAAAAATGTGTGACAAAATAAGTAATTTCATTGGTTACATTTTCGTGTCCTGACCTATCAACACGTGGCTCATTTTAATATTAAAATGAGCCATGTGTTGATTCGCCACTGATCACTGCAGTTGCTACCACCAGGCTGTCAATCAAGCTCTCAGCGACAGAGAACATAATGTGAGCTAACGTCTGTTGTTGGACTGAAATTCTGAAAATGCTCATACTCATATGTATAGGCAAAACCCTTTATCCCCAGATAAAAACATCAAAAACACTTTCTGTATGATGTTTATTAGACCTATGTAATCTGAATTGGAAGGGCACGTTGTCATGAGCTGTATCTTGTATATTTATTATTAGCTATGTGGTATGTATATGCACCTTTATGTAATCTGGTGGAAAAACATTAAAATTTAAAACCGGATCATACCAAACAAATATCTGCTTGCGTGTCCCTGTGTATGCAAAGTGTCCTCCTTTTTGATGTGAAGGTTTAAGTTTATGTTGAAGTCTGCTCTGATTGCAATATTTCAAAAAAATTTTCTAATTTACGCAATGAACAAAGTACAGGGACATGCCCATCCACCCATTTAGATTATAGCTGGACAGCTAACTGAGCTAACTCTAAAAGCAGCTGCAGGGCAGTTATCAGCTATAGTAGCTCACTGCTAAAATCAAGTGAAGTTATCCGTCCATTAGGATATTCCATAAATCACTGAAAGTTGAAGCAGTGCAACCAGAGGACATCAGAGAGACTAGAAAATATTTGCTCCATAAAACATGATCCAGTTTCACCAAAATCAGTGAATGAAGATTAGTTGCAAGCTTTTGTACAGTAATGATGTCTTTCCAACCTAATTCTTGTCTCATTTTTTCAAATTTGCCTCAAATTTTTCAAGTGTGCCACATGGCTATTGTCCAGGTAAGTTATAGCTGTTAGACTTTGTCAATCACACCGACAACGGAATGAAGCGGTGCTCACAATCATTTGCTGTTGACCCTCGAGGGGCTTTCAGGGAAGTTGATCAATGAGAATAAAGTGGCCTTTTAGGGAGTGTTGTATTAAAGAGACAGGAACTAAAACGACTTGTTTCAGACAGAGGATGAACTGAGGGGCTGTATATAAGGCCAGTAAAGTAAATAAGGTTTTCTTTTGAAACGGTGAATCATGCAAAACTACTCTACTAGAATGCCAGAAAAATAATATAGAGCTGGAAATTAGCATAGGTTGTTCTTAAAATTATATTCTTTCAAAATATCTTAACTGAAAGAAGGTATAAAGAAATTACCTTTTTCTGTGTGAGGCGGTGCTTGTTGTTTAGGACGTAGACCCCTTTGTCAACTACCACCAGACCCACTGTGGCTTCTGAGTCTCCAGTGACCTTCAGACCAAACATCCTGCGAGGTTCATACGATGGAGCGGGTCTCGATGGTTCCAGCTTCAACTAAAAGAGGAAGGAAAAGCAGATTTGTATTTTCTAAAGTAGTTCAAATTAAATAAAATAAGGCATATTTGTAACTTCTGACTCTGCTCAATCAGTGCTGTCTGTCTCACCGAGCCCATGCAGGAGTCCTTGACATCCACCCACACAGAGTCTGATACCACTTCATTGTTATTTGTATGGTAGTAGGCTAAGATGCGGAACGATGGCAGCATTTCTTTGGTGACAGGAGCTACCAGGGAAATCAGTACTTGGCCTCTCGTCTTATAACGGCCATATTTCAGCAGCTGACCTCTGTTCAGGATCTGGGAACAAGTAGTTATCAAGTATGAGTATATACTACACCGACTGCTGAAAGCAACACAAACACTCAAGCATGTATGCAAGCAAACACATACACAGGTACAAAACATCTCCTACCAGGTATGTGACGTCCTTTTGTATAGGGCTGTTGAGGATGAAGTTAAACCTCAGGTTTTCCCCCAATGTGACTTCAGCTGCCTCCACAGCTGTAATAACATCTCACAATTAGTGCTGCACATTTAGGGGGTCCTGTACATGGTAGTTACGCAGCACTGCCACCACCATCACCACTGGCGTTACTATTTGATGTTAGTTTAGGATGTTCCTCACCTATGTGGATGTAATTGTTGCTTTTGGTGGTATATGGGAGAGCTACCATGGTGGCTGATGCTTGTCTTTCAGGCGTAAAACGAGGATCACTGGTCTTTGCCTACAATAAAAAACACACAATTCAGCATAGGGTTAGGGTTCTATATATATATGAAGTTATAAAGGCTTTATCTTAGCCAAGCCTTGCCTGCCTTAAGCCTTTACATTATGACAACAAGTAATTGACCTATAAAGACAAATCAACACAGAATAAAATAAGATTACAACACAATATAACACACAATTACATTTAAAGATGCTCGACACGTGTATGCATACATACATACATTCAGTAAATGCAGCTGAACCATAACAATGAGCTAAGGAAGCAAAAAATCTGCATAGAGCTGCAGAGTTGGATGATTGATTGGATCGATTTCAACAATGAATAAACTTCCATTTGCCAAGCGGGATGCAAAAACAAACTTACGGTAATTGTCAGTCTGTCAGTCCTTGCCTCTGTATTGATGGGAAGTCTTGCCATGCCATTGGCTGCAGTGAAGACCGTCACCTGGCCAGGGTTGACCACCACTGTAACACCTTGTGCAGGAGTGTCATCAGGATTCAGAACTTCAACCTTGCTATCAGAGACACAAATAGCTGAACTGTCAGAAGTCCTCAAATTAAATATCTTATTAATACATATTTCAGAGCAATGTTATTTTTAGAGAATAATATTCTGCAAACTGCTGTAGCTCTTATGATTACAGTAAAGTTATGACTGAGATAAGGGTCAGTAATGAGTACTACTACTTTTGAAGCTAAAGTCAGCTTGTTTTTAGGAATTTAACTTTGCTGTCATTTTACAAACATGTAAATATAAATAAGTACTTTACCTTAAGATTGAAGGCCATCCCTGGTTTGAAGTATTTGGGAGTTTTCTTGAAGTGGATGGTGTACGGTGACGTGACAATCTGGATACCTCTCAACTCTGCCTCCACCATTTCACCACCTGTTGTCAAAGATACACATCAACACCATATTTTAAAGAATAGTTCAATTTTTCCCCTTTTAAAATAAAATCTGTCACAAACAAAACACAATCTTAAGTCTTTTTTCATATTCATCCAACAAGAAAAAGTAATAAATAAAATAAAATAAATAAACAATAAAACATTAAATGTACTGTCTTCAGTCCATGTCAGACAAACTGTGTATGACGAAACATACAAAAACACAAAAGAAAGGATAAGGCAGGAAGGTTAGATGATGGCCTTGAAATATTGGATATATACAGGATTAACACAGGATAAGCCTAGATTGACAAACAAAGTCTCTTCCTTACCGCTCTCCGTCAGCACACTGACAGCTACAAATATGGAACTCCCCACCAGGTCTTGGATGTTTCTGAAAGTGTCCGTGATGTGCTGTCTCCTCAGTGTGACCTCTCCATTACCACTCTCAATCTATTGTGACAATGAACAGTCAGTGAACAGTTGCTGTGTCCTTTTTCTGAATATGTTAATTCTTATTTCAGCCTGGGATAAATCTCACTATTATTAATGTTGTTAAAGTTGTTAATCTACCAATTTAGCAAAAATACTGTAACTGCATATATGGCAAACAGTCAAATCTGAGACATTTTTAAAAGAAAAGTCCCACCCTTTTTGTGGTCCATAACAGTTGTGCAAACCTCAGTCAGAACCTCGGTCAACTTAGTCACTTTATCTCTCCAAAACGACCACACCCCCTTTTGGGTGAAACAAAAAAACTGCCTAGTGGTATTACTGTATGCCTACAAGCTGCTGCGTTACATTTTATTTTTCATAAAAGATCTGTGACCTAAGGGAACCTGCAAAGAGGATAAATAGGGTTAACTGTGGGACCCAGACAGTCAGTTTGTTTTGGAAAACACTTTATCACAGGTTAGTTTATGATGTTACTGAGTAAAGGACGTGTGTTTGTGTTGTGTGTTTTAACTGCAGATTAAAGTAAATCAGGAAAGAGTCTTAGTGATGGTGTAAATAAAGTTTTTACTGTGAAAAAATATGGCCCTAGCACAAAACACCCTCTGTTGAAATGGAGTTTGGTCTGACGGTCTGGAGCAGAGGGTATTTTAATCTTAATAATTCACATAAACTGAGCTGACTTACCTTCTTATGAACCTTGTAAACAGCATAAAGTAATGTAGGAAGTAAATAAAACCGACATGTTTCCTATTTCAGTCGGCTCGTAGTGAAAGGTTGATTAATAAACACAAATGGTGATTCTGCTTCGCCACAGGGATATAATTAGTTAACAGTAACTACCAAAACAGAAAAATAAAGTGTCTTAATGACAGAAACTGTCAGATGTCAGAAATATGACATTCATTGAGGTAGCTGTATATGTCAGACCTGTCCTCTTTGATAGAGGCAGACTGGAAGGACACTCAAACCCCTATTTATTTATTGTTTTCTATGTAACGACATTCTCTCTAGAAAATTCTTATGTCCACTTGGCTTTATTCTGAACATCCTAAATAATAACTAATTCATTAATATCTGTGGATAGGAATGTAACAATTTAACTCAAACAATTGCAGATATAATAATACCAGGAAATCTTAGATTTTTCATGTTTTAGAGTCTTCCAGAGATGTGTTTTTGTAGCACTGCTAAAGGCCAAGCTGTACAACACATACTGTTTAAGACAGAATGACCAATCAACTGACAGACATAGTGCTCACCTGCACTCTCTGAAGAGAGCTTGGAAAGCTCTGCTTTTTGCCCTCTTGTATAACCCCAAATACCACGTAGGCCATACCATTCACCTCTTCACCAAACAGATACCTGAAACCACAAGAAAAGGTTTAATGTTTAAGCCAACAATTAAGTAAGTCGTGACAAATAAAAACAGGATGTAACAACAACAAGGAATGACTAAAATAGGAAGAACCTCAACACAACCTCTTGACAACATCCTTCATTTTTCCTCCAATCAATGTAGCAATCAATCCTAATCTCTTAAACCACAAAACAAAAACCTTCACATACGTAGCTTTGATGTTGACTGTGAGCTCTTCACTGTCCACATAGAAGAATGAGCTCGCAGGTATCAGTTTCACCTCAAAACTGGGCAGCACTGAAAAATTAAATAAATGTTTTGGTGTGTCCTATGAGTTCAGCAGTAAGTGAATATAATATTTATATAGATTTTAACAGTGCAGTTAATGAGGAACTTACCATATTCTTTGACCTCAAATTCTGCATAGTAGCTCTGCTGCGGGTTGCTCTGAAACTTCGCCACCACCTTCCACAGTCCGGGACTACACAAACAAGAACGAAGCAAAACATTTAAATATTCATAACATTTAGAGACTAAAGGTAGCTCAGGAATCAGGCTTCAGACAGCATGAAGTAATTTATCTTCAGAATAATAATAATGAGCTGATGCAGAGAACTTGATGTTAATACTGTCCTACACAGAGCATTATCTAGAGAAACACTGAAGTTGGGAATTAAACTGGTATTGTTTAACTGTTTTTATTCAACTATCGCTGTCTCATAGTTCAGGATAAATTGAAATACCAAGATGTAATTTTATCAAAATTTATATTTTTGAATTACAGCAATCAAATTGAAGATATATTACTACTGTTTTTGATTATATCACTAATACAGTCAGACAAACTGTTCACAACTCCTTCAAGTGAATGTGTCCTTTCCCATTGAGTTCTGCTTAACCAATATTTAACATGTTGTGAATGAATGTGCTATCTTGCAACTGAGTGTGACCGTGGTTAACTCTCGTCAGAGATAACGATGCTCATGCATACAGGAAAACAGTGGAAACCATCTCATTAAATAAATGAGCCTCAATCAATATTTATTCATTAATTCATCTGTTGGCCGGAATGAATCAACTGAAAAGTCTCGAAGGATTCAGTGTCTTCACACTTTATACACTGTATGAATTGTTTTTTAATTGTAGTCAAAACACTAAACTAACAATATGAAAATGAAATAATATAAAACTTAACATATTGCATTTTAAAATATTGAGGAATGTTTAGAATTCAATTCACCTGTTATTCTTTTTAAAATGTTCTCTATAAACAACAACAAACCAAATTAAATTAACATTATATAAAAAACTTACCTGACAATTGCACCAAGTTGGTAACGTCCAGAGTGGATCCCTGATTTCAGAGAGACCGGATGAAGTGGTAAAATTATGTCTTCAGGGGTCTAAAAATAAACAATATTTATTAAGGGTTTGAAATTCCCCAGTCTCACAATATATGGGTCATTTTGTGTAAGCCCTGTCTACTATTCAGAAAGTTTGATGTACCGAGTTACAGCTGATTATATAAAATGACATTTATTTTGTGTTTATCAAAGATAAAATACAATACCACAATATAAATGGCAATAGAAGCGTCATCTTGGGTCTCAGGGTCCCTCTCTACAGGCTCCATACGGGGTGACAGTGCAAACATCCTGTAATAAACTGACACAGAGAAAGAGGTTCATTTTGCTGGTGAAGGAGGATCTATTTTGAGGTATGTGACTGTTAAACAACTTATGTCAAAATAAGGGTGAATTTTCCTGCATTTTACTGTCAATCATTAATTTTAAAAAATGGTAAATGTCCATGTCAAATAGATAGTGTGGTATATTTCCTATGGTAATATCTTTTCTTACATATTGAGACACCTTCTCAGAGAAGTAGGAGAGTTTTTTTCAGCACTGATGGAGCATTGAACTCACCATCGCTGTTGGGGGTATAGAGGGTCTTGTCAGTCTGGATGAAGATGTACCCAGACTGGAAGGACACTAAGACGACTTTCTCCAGCAGTCGGTCAGGGAACTGAGCTTGCAGGTACACATACTGTTTAATGCTGGGATCTTTGCTGAAGTCACCAGCAGGGATCTGAAACCAGCATGTAGAGACACAGGCAGTGCATGTAGAGCGGAACGGGGTCTGACAGGTTATAACATGTACATTTATGGATTCTAGACCTCTTGTTGGTGGTCATGATAGAAAATGAAGCCAGTAACACATACTGTACATATTATACAGTATTTCATTTACCGTTAATTGTCCAAACTCCTGGAAGTTGTTTGCTATAGTGAGGGTCACAGATGTGGTTGCCAGTTCTTTGGTTTTGGTTGGATGATTCATCACTTTGATATCGACCCTGATGTCTCCTCCTGTGCAGTCTTGACACTCCACAAAGATGTTTTCTGGTGTTCCTACCCGCAACAAGTTGGGGGCAGACATCACCTCCCTGCAGAGCAGCGAGACGAGAGAGAGATTAAGAATGAAGTTACTGTTTTTATTTAGTTTTTCCTCTACAGTTGTTTGTGTTTAAACAACATATTTGCTTCTGCTCTAGCATGGACTTCATACATAATAAGTGATCTATTGATTATCTTGACTAAGATTCTGTACTGGTTCAATAAAATATTTCATCATCTCTGTTTGCTGTGTCTGATGTAATGCATCACTCTGCAAACTCAAAATGTTTAACCTTGATTTATGTGACGAAAACCTTCAAACTAGAGTTAAACTACTTTTTTTACCATCAATGTACAATTTGTGCCTCCCCTGAGACATTTTTGTTCCTTAGGTTTTCTTTGCCTGATGTTCTTGAGATTTGGTCATGATAGTCATGATTGTCATGGTAATGACTGTGTGTGTAGATGCGGCAGCAAGTAGCTCCATAAAACCTTGATACTTTTGTTTTATTAATTACCAAGATTTCATCAGCATGTCAACATCCCCACCAGAGGACCTAATACACTGGACTGTGCCTACACGAATATCCCTGGCAGCTATACAGCCCTCCCACACCCTGACTTTGGTTTATCAAACCATATTTCCATGATTCTCCTGCCAACTTATACCCAGCTAAAAAAAGGATCAAACCATCAGTAAAAACTGCACAGAATGGCACAGGTTCAATCAGGAAGAATATACACCATCAGTGACATCAATGTATAAAACCACCTAGAAGATCATTAGCATTCAGCTACCCAGCATCAGTGATATTGGTAAGGTGAGGTGCCTAAGCAGAGCCCAAAGGATATTAAAAGACAGTAGTACCCGACCCAGCCACAGCCTGTTCACCCTGCTGACATCTGGGAAGAGATCCAGTGTACAGTAAAGACAATGTCTCAATACATCTCCACATAAACTGGGAACCAGAACTAGGAATGGAAATATAAAATGTATTGGACATATTATTAACAGTATTTGTGCTTCCTGCACAATACACACAAATCTTTTTGCATGTTGCAGCTACCCTTTACATGCATGCAGCACATACACATCTTCCTCCAACTGACTCTGTCCTGTCTTTTTCCTTCAACCTCCTCTTTCTCTTTGAACAGACATTCAAGGAATTGTGTGAAAAGCTAAGCCAGGTCAACTTACAATGGTGATCCATCAGCCAGAGAAGTCAGAGAGGAAAAGACCAGAAAGGCCAACAGCCCCAGCTGAGTCCTGAACAACCTTCCTGATCCCATATCTGCTGTTATTGGAGAGTCCAGCTCTGCACACTCTCCTTTTATACACTCACCTCCCTGCTCCTGCACCTTTACATCCGCCCACTCTTGTCTCATCCAGTTAAACTCATAGAAACTTAACCCTTGTGCCCTCATCAAATGTATTGCCCTCTGGACACCTTTGTGGCAATAATGTACACGCACAACAAACTGCTATTAAATCATCTTACATCAATATTTTGCATATCTTGTGGGCCCTGGCATGATGCCGGTGGGTGTTTTTGAGTAAAGACAGGAGGCCTTGTTTTCAGCCATGAAATGATCAGTGCGTGATTACAGATTCACACTCTCTCTCTCTCTCTCTCTCTCTCTCTGTCTCTCTCTCTCTCTCTCACACACACACACACACACACACACACACACAAAGCTCTTGAGGCCCCCTGGTAATCACAATACAAGAATCTCAGGCATCGGCCTACAATGGGAAAATGGTTGAATCTGGTGGACCAACCCGTTCTTATTCCCAACTCGTCGAAGATTGACGCTTTGTCTCTGCCCTTTTGGCGTCACAACAGCCGCATATGGTACCCATCAGCGGCTTTATGGGACGCACCGGGCTAAATTAGCAACAACACATTTACCCACGTCCGGGTGGACTGAATTAGGAAAATAAATAAGCATCATCCGGTTACACTTTCAAAATAAAGCCAGAAGAGAAACGTTTTATATTTTATGAACAATCGTAATACTACCACTAAAGACACTAGTGGTTTCTTCCTATTTCATAAATACAAATCATGTTGCAACATTATTAGGACAAAAAAAGTATGAGGTGAAGTTAGTTAGTTATGTTAGCTGCACAATTAGACATCGCTAAAAGGCGCTAGGGTGAAAAACTGAACAAATAATACATTTCCGTTTTGCAGGTCCTATTAAGTTGACTTATGTACTCTTCGTGATAAGCAGCAATGAGGTTTGTTGGCTGTTTATCTGCTGTAATTTTTTTTGTTGAAGCCATCTTGACTGTGACTACAAACCAACGGTGTATGAATAAAGGTGTATGCACTGTTGTGTGCAGGGCGGCAGAAGCTCAGTGTGTAGGGACTTGGCTTGGGAACTGGAGGGTTGCCGGTTCAAGTTCAACAGACATTGGCGGTTCTATCTTCAGAATCAGAATCAGATTTATTGCCAGGTAGGTTTTTACACATTATGAGGAATTTGTCTTGGTGCAATGGTGCTTAAAATATACAATCACACAAAAAAATAAAAATAGATTAATATATAAATCACACAAAAATATACAAGTCACACAAAAATCACACAAGAATAAAGTACTTTACAACACAAAGTATATGAAAAAATATAGATAAATAAAGATAAGAAAGATAAGAAAAGATAGGAAAACTGTACAGAAGACGGGAGTGCATTAATGTTATGCATATATACAGGGTGGGTATAAGAGTCAGTGACAGTGGGGGGTCCGGCCTTGTTGATGAGGCCAGCTGCAGACGGGAAGAAACTGTTTTTGTGGCGAGAGGTTTTGGTCCTGATAGACTGTAGCCTCCTGCCAGAGGGGAGAGGTTCAAAGAGTTTGTGGCCGGGGTGGGAGGGGTCAGCCACAATCTTGCCTGCACGCCTCAGGGTCCTAGAGACGTACAAGTCCTGGAGGGATGGCAGGTTGCAGCCGATCATCTTCTCAGTGGAACGAATGATGTCCTGCAGTCTGCCCTTGTGAGGATGGACTCGATGGCGGTGTAGTAGTGCACCATCATCGTTTTTTGCAGGTTGAACTTCCCCAGCTGCCGCAGGAAGTACATCCTCTGCTGGGCTTTCTTGGTGAGGGAGCTGATGTTCAGCTCCCACTTGAGGTCCTGGGTGATGATGGTACCCAGGAAGTGGATGGACTCCACAGAGTCAACTGGGGAGTCACACAGGATGATGGGGGTGGGTGGGGCTGGGTTCTTTCTAAAGTCCACAACCATCTCCACTGTTTTTAGAGCGTTTAGCTCCAGGTTGTACTGGCTGCACCAGGTCACCAGATGGTCAATCTCCCATCTATAGGTGGACTCTCCACCAGAGATGAGCCCAATGAGGGAGGTGTCATCCGCGAACTTCAGTAGCCTGACGGACTGGTGACTGGAGGTGCAGCTGTTGGTGTACAGGGAGAAGAGAAGAGGAGAAAGAACGCAGCCTTGTGGATAACCAGTGCTGATGGTCTGGGAGTCAGAGACATTTGACTCCCGGACCTGAAGTCCACAAACAGGATCCTGGCGTAGGTTCCTGGGGAGTCCAGATGCTGGAGGTTGAAGTGCAGGGCCATGTTTACTGCACCGTCTACAGACCTGCTGGCTCTGTAGGCGAACTGCAGGGGGTCCAGGAGTGGGTCCGTTATGGCTTTCAGGTGGGAAAGCACAAGGCGCTCAAAAGACTTCATGACCACAGAGGTGAGGGCAACAGGTCTGAAGTCATTTAGTCCTGTGGTCCTTGCTTTTTTGGGGACAGGGGTGATGGTGGATGACTTGACTGGTGAGCTGGGGGCTGTTGAGGGGTGTAGGGGTTACAGTACTATTTAATAAGAAAGGTAATTAATCACTGGTGATTAATAATACACTCGTTAATGGGGCACCACCTCCGTTGTTTAGCTACTGGAATAATCCAGAGGAAATTTTTCCACATTTTCTTTCAGCCTGGTATGGTTGAATGAGTTTACAGTACAAAATGTATGTCCAATTCTTAATCATTAAGCTTATTCAGTTGTCCAGTATCAGTGCTAAAGACAAATGAGATACACTAGAAAGATGAAGTCTCACTCTGTTTGATTTCATCCCACATCCTGCTACATAAGCCAGTGAAAAGTGTGTGAAAGTGAAATATTATTTTAAATATTTTTTAAACTAATCAGGATTTGCTAGATTTGAGTTTTTGGCCTGTGAGAGCCCAAGCTGAACCTCTTTGCTCTCAATGTATTTTATGTTGTAAGGAAACCACTGATGAGACTAATAATTGTTTTTGTCCTTACAGATCAGTGCAGAGTTTATGCGACTGGTTTCGACTGAACTCCACGGGTCTTCTTTGATGGACTGGACAAATATGTCCCGAGCCTGCTCGAAATGTACAGAGCGAGGTAGCACCAGTGCAGACCTGCGTACCCTGCTTCAGCCCCTTGACATACGAGTAAGGACAGTAAAGATTTTTACTACATTGTGCAGAGATGTTCACAAGTCTTTTTTTGCAAGTCAAAGTCAAGTCTGAAGTCTTTGGTCACGAGTCCAAGTCAAGTCTCAAGTCTCTGAAAAATAAAAGTCATATGTCTCTTCTGGTTGTAATGAGCCTTCTGTCATCTGCTGCTATCCGGTCTACTAAGAATACTGCACAGTTATATCTAAGAAATTCAAAGCATTTACTGTATTATTATCACTCCATTATCTATTAGCATACAGTATCAGTACACCCTTGCACATATTTTCATTTCTGATTACATTATTTAGATTATATTTAATTACATTATTTACATCATATTAGTTTGATTTTATTCATATTTATCTTCTTTATTCTATTTATAAGGCCAGTTTAGGAGTAACCAGGAGACATTTCACAGTGTTTGAGACAAAAAAAGAAATCTTGTAATCTTGTAAATCTAACATTATTAGTCATGCATAAATAACTAATTATCCAATCACAGTTATAGTTAGCTACATCTGCTGGACACAAAATTAACACCATTCAGATGCTAGTAAATCATGCAAATGGCTGGTACTGTATGCTGCACTCACCAGCCAAAATAACCATGGTAATCTATTGAGTAGCTGGCAAAATTTCAACATTCACTAGTCTAGCCATTTTGCCAGTGGACAAAAAAGTTAAAGGTTTGCACTCTGCAACCATATTGTTTAATTACACTGGGTCTCTAATGACACATTCCTCTATCCTCTCACTCAAACTCAGTGTAATGGTAACCTGGTAAACCTCTAACATTAACGTTACGTGGTCAACAATTAACCTGTAACCTGCCTGTAAGCCGACAGTATAACTGTATTTTTCTAGGGTTAACGTTATTACGCACCCAATGCGTAATATGGTTACCATGGTTACCATGAAAAAAAGGAAGGAATCACATTAAGCTCGTCAGACGTTTCCTCAATATTAATACGCCAAAAAAGAAAACATAATGTCTTTTGAGCACGAGTCCAACTCAAATCTGAAGGCTCTGTGTGTGCAACTTGAGTCCGAGTCGCAAACTCGAGTCCCCATCTCTGACATTGTGTTACGACATATGAGGCTTTATAATGCTACAATGTCATGTAAAAAGTTAAACATCTTAAAGTGTCATTTTGACAGAGCAGCCATGTCCCATTTTGCATGTACCAGATTGTAAATCTGTTCTAAACCACAGTTTAATTAGTCACTAAGTGACACAGCAGCAATCCCAGTGTTGTCAGAATTGACATGTGCATGCTTGATTACAATTTTTCTTCTTTTGTTGTTGTTGTGTTATGAGACTTCAAATCAGAAGGGAAGAGCAGTTGCTTTGCTTGGACTTCCATACTACCTGAAGGAGGATCCTTCCAGTTTCGTCTGAGTCTGCGAGGTGTGTGAATTAATTTCATTGGCATGGGAAACTCAACTAATTATGGTGAAAAACAACAACAAACATTGATATTTACACATGTTAAAGGTATGTCAGACTTAAGGGACTCTATTTACAGAATATGGCAGAAATTAATTATAATATTCATAAGTAGGTTTTCATTAGTGTATAATCACCTGAAAATGACTTAAAGTGAGCCTTTAAGACATTGACATAGACTGAGACTTCATGTTTTTTTCTGTTAAAATGATCTTGACTAAATACATTATACAAATAAATGTATACATTTATACACATTTAGCAAATTGAAATAGTGAATTGGTAAATTGATGGTATATGCTTGATTTCTGACTTATCTTTATTATGTGCTTTAGCCTGGCAGTTCAGAAGAGGAGGTCACAAAAGGAGTGGACATTGGCCTTCTCATTGTTTCAGAGGAAGGTGGAAGCAAGCAGGAGT